CATGTTGTTTCCAGCATAACATTTCCATGAAAAATCTTGGAGCAGGAACAAATCTCTCGTTAATAGAATTTGCCAGATAAAAATCTGAGAAATAGCACATAGGGACCAAAGACAGTCAGAAATATGAGGGAAAAAAAAAGATAATCATATGTAATCTGCTATTTCAAAACATGAGTAGCAAAGAAACTGCATGGCAATGAGCCATGGCTAAGGTAAATGTTTGTGGCAAGACAGGGCAGAAGAGAGGACTAGTGTGGTGGTGAGAGGAGCAGATGCAGGTGGCAGTGGATGTGGTTCTCCATCTAGGTTAGCACAGCCAAGGAGGGAGAGATGTGTTGCTAGAAAGAAAACTGAACTCTTCCTCGTGGAAAAAGATGTGGCTTTTTGGGTGGTCACTTTGCCGAGCAGTGACCTGGTGATGTACGGACCATCTGGAAAGCACAGAAGGACCTGGATACCACCATGGAGATATGGCCATGGGGAGCTGTTGCTAGGAGCGGTGGGACAGAAGATGCTGTTTGGCCATGGGAAGAATGTGAGACTTGTCGGATGGGATGGAGCTTCTTGAGGTCACTCTCTGGGACACAGCTCCCTGTTACACCAGTGGGCATCTTCCCACAGGAAGACTCTTCCTCCCTCGCCGGGGTGGCATGCAGGGCCACTTGGCCAGAGTCCGTCTGCTGCCGGAGGCTTCCCGGCTGCTGGCTCCCAGGGTGCTGCAGCATCGCCCTTGGGCTGCTGTGGGGGAAAGATCGACCCAGGCTCCCAAGCGTGGGTCTGGCAGGAGGTGGAAGGGTTAATGGCCGGCTTTTGGGCTGCTAAGCCATGTGTGAAAAAAGCTGGCTGGTGAGGAAAGCCTGTCCCAGATCCCGTGGCAGGAATTAGGGATGTGGAACCTTTCCCCCCTCCATCACCTGCTCCGGCTCAGCTCCGGCTGGGGAGCTAGTGCCACGTGGCTGCTGGCCAGGGAGGGTGAGCTGGGAGGGACGTGCTGGTGTACCCGTGCTCTTCCCCGTCCCACGCTCAGAGGAACTGGGTACAAATGGGTACGGGGAGGCTGGCCGCTCCAGCACCCGCTCAGGGCTCAGACGTGCCATCGAGACCGTGGGCAGGAGTCGTTCGCTGCCTGCGTGGTGCTGGCTGGAGGGAATAAATAGAGGCTGCCTGTTTCCAAGCTGCCAGTACCATGCGTATCAAAAGCTGCATATGTTTTCTTCAAAATGAACTAAATACAAGTAGATTTAATGATGATAACAATAATAATCCATGTCTCTGCAGGGCTCTCCAAAGCTTCCCAGAGACTCCATTTGCGAGTGGCTGAATGAAAATGAAAGCCAGATCATCTCTACCGGTTTATAGTTTGCACTCTCCCCAGCTCTTGCTTTCTTTTTAAACAGATTTATTCCTGGTCATTACAAGGTCAGACACAGAAGAGGTTATGGCTTCATTCTGCTCGTGGTTGATTTGATTTAAAGTCCCACGAAGAATATTATGTCACCAAACTATTTCCTCTCTATAACAGAATAAAAAGGGGGTTTGGGAGGGGGAGAGGCAACACGCAGTGCGACAGAGCCTGTGACCACAGGGCACCACAGCAAGCCCAAGCAGGCGGCTCGACAGAAACCCTCTTCAGCCTCATCCCCACTATGACCGTCGTGGGGATCTCGGGGATGAAGTCAGGAGGCAGTGTGACGAACTCCTGGGATGAGGTGCAGGAAAATCCTAGTGCACTGCCGGAGGCTGGCCGTGCTGTGCATCCATCACATGATGCTCAGGAGCGTCTGATGCATGGCTGGGAATGGACAGCGTGGTGGAAAGCCTCACATGATGCTCAGGAGGTCTTACCCGGATTTCTGCAGGGCTGAGCCTGCAGCGGCGAGGTGGGGAGGGACTGGAGGGCCTCTCCTCTGAGGGCTCATCTTGCCTTTGCCTCTGGCAAAATCAGATCACCCAGTTCAGTGAGGTTAAAAAAAAAAAAGAGGTCTTTTATGGTGGGATGCAGCCTTTTGCCTGTTCTGCACTTTTCTCACTGTAGCGAGCCCTCACATGCCTGTAATGGCCAGCACGAGCCCCTTGAGAAACCGGCACAGGGAAACTCTCAGCCTCTCCCCGTCTCCTCCCCGCAGTGCTTAGCATTACGTGCGTTTTGCTGCGTCTTTCAGCAAGTTGCTCTGTCTCGGTCAGCTTTGCTAAGTGCCTGGCTCTGGGCTTCGCTGGGTGTCTCGGAGCTCCTGGATGAAAACAGAAGTCTAGGAAAATCATTGCAACAACTTGTGTTGATGCGATGTTTAAGGAGCGATGAGGTCCAGAAAAGCCAGGTTCCATCAGCAATGCTGACTTGGTCAGATCTTCTCCATGTGCTGTTTTCTATCCCTTTTTTTGAGCGTAACCGAATATATTACTGCTTATTAAATGCACACCTCCAGACAGGCTGCACACCTGCTCAATTAAGATTGCTCTCGGAGGCTTAAGAAAACCCTCTCAACCTAAAAATCTAGTTACTTCAAGTCCTGTTAACTGACTTAAACAGCCCCGCTGAAGAAATGAGGCCGCTGAGGTGCACAAAGCTGGGGATGGCTGGCTGGTTTTCGTCGCTGAGCACGGTAAAGCGGCTTATGGTCCTTCTCTGTGGAGCAGGAGGGTGCAGTGCTTTGCCCCTGCCGCCTGTCTGCCTTCGGACAAGCCACTTCCCCGCATCTCGGTGCTCGGTCAGGAGAAGACTCCTGCCATCTTCTCCTTGCCTCCTCTTCGCAGCTGGGTATGTATTTTGGACCATTTTATTAGTGGCTGTAGGCGAGGCCTTGTGCAGCGAGGATTCGCCATGCCAAACGGGTCGAAGGAACAAGCAGCGGTAATACGGGGGGCAAGCGGCTTGTGCCAGTGCTGCTGGTAGCTGGCATTTCTTCAGAAGGGCTGCAGGTGTGATGGGAAAGGGAATGGAAGTGCTTCATCCTTGCAGGCTTGGTGCTTTTTTTATAATCCAGTCAGCATTTGTCCTGCACCTGCTGCCTGGATCATCTTTGCACGGGCACAGATTGTGAAATCAAGGAAATAAAAAATACTTTTTCTTTCTAAGATGACTTGCTATGTCAGGGAGCTTCCACCCACCTGTCCCCTTACCGACAAGTATCTGCCATGAATTAAGTGTGCCGCAGTTTCTCCTGAGGGCTGCGAGATCTGGGCTCTCATAATTTTTTCTTGAGAATTTGTTTGTCTGTGGACCCGTCACAACAGCTTCTGGGTACAGACCTCACGGGGATAAA